AGCCGGAGGGGAATGTCCTCAGGAAGTAGGGTGCGTCTCTGGGGTATAGAAACCCCCGTGCTAGCAAGGAAATCAGCAGGCCGATTCCCCTCCCGGAATATGTGTGAGACATGGTAATGGATCGAGCGGAGGGTGTCTCTGATACGCATAAGAGGATGCTGGATCTGCCATGAGCCCTGGTGGCCAGATGTCAAAAGTGTGATGACAGCCGCAGCATCCATCTCTATCCAGACATGAGAGGAGGTCGAGGCGGCAATCTCGAGGCCAATCTAGAGCGACTGAATCTCTGCATCATAACTCGAGGAGGCCCGGAGTGGCCCATGGAAGGCAGAGATGAGTGCCCCACCATGATCCCTAATCAGGCCCCCTCCTCCAGCAGCTCCAGTATGTCTGTCGAAAGCCCCATCAGTGTTTAGCTTAACCCAAGGGGCCTTGGGTTTCAGCCAAACAATGGTCTTGGGTCGTGGATGCTGGACAGGTAAAGGAGGAGGTGGCCTCAACCGATGGGGCGGAGTACACCCTGTCCAGTCTCTCGTCGTGAGTCTACCCAGGGCGGTGAGGAGAGAGAGGTGTCTGTCAACCTGCAAAATAATGTGAGCACAAGAAAATATAATATCCCTATGCTTCGCATTATTCCTATCTGTCCAGGTGGCCCATAGGATCAGACAAGGAATAAGGAAGCCCACGTGTCTACTGTGTGTGCGGTGTAAGAAGAAACTCAGGAGCTCAAAAAAACTGTCTGTAGTGGGTAGGGGTATATGAGTATATCTGGCATAGTGCTCCCACACTCTCCTCACAGTCTCACTCTCAAGGAAAAGGTGGGCGAAAGTCTCGATCTCAAAGGTACCGGTCTAAGCACAACAATGGCAGCGGGAGGGGAAAGAGAACCCTCTCGCCTGCATCACAGTGTCAATGGAAATCCGCCGTAATAGGAGACGCCACAAAAAGACGGAAATGGCCGGGGTGAGAAGGTCAGTCCATATGGCCCCGAAGAGGCGGTTAGGTCGGTTACCCAGCCTCACCTCTCCCCAGGCTGAGGACGTAGAGAATGCACCCGAAGATGTAAGTCTCCACCTCATGCCATCCAAACCTCCCTCCATAATGGGAATCTGTCGGATCTGGTCAATCTCTAGACTACTAAAACCCCCACCCTCACCAAGAATATCGTCCATCCTATCTCTATCCCAAAGCCCTCCCGTCCAAAGGTCCTTCACCTGCATGAAAGGCAGGTGAGTGACAGGCCTAGTACTCGAGAGAGGGGCCTCGCCAAACCACTACTCATCCCAGAAGCTAACCTCCCCAGAACCCAAGGTCCAAAAAATGTGCTCCTGAGCACGCCTGCCAACAATGGTAAGACGTCTCCACTGACGACTATCCCGAGCGGTGGCTATCACCCTGCAGGGATGAGCAGCACCACCAGGGCAATATTTCTTCAGGAGGTACTGGGCCCAAAGGGACTTGCCCTCCCTAACGCGCCACCATATCCTGTAGGAAAATGCAGTAACCATATCAGAGGAACGCCGAATCCCGAGCCCCCCTTAGAGTGGGGACGACAGATGGAGTCCCACTTCACCCAGTGGGTCTGCCGCTGACCGCGCGAGCCCTCGCCATGGCTCCAAAAATAGCGGGCTAAGATCTGATCTAACTCATGAATCGTAGACTGGTGGGGATCAAGGACCGCGAGAAGGTGAAGAGGAAGGGCACAAAGAGTGCTCTTGATCGGAGCAAGTCGGCCTCCGAAGGATAGGTGTCTATGTGACCAACCAGAAATCCGGTCAATCATCCTCTGACGGACATCAATAAAAAGATCATGGGAAAGATGGCCTTTGTACAAGGGGGCCCCAAGGTAAGGGATGGGTAAGTCCCCACGAGCAAAACCAGTACGCTCGTGAATCTGGTGGGCCCAATGGTCTGCAACGTGATGGTCCATGATAAAGAAACTCTTACTAACACTGACTAGCTGGCCAGATGTCTCACTGTAGTGGTCCAAAAGACTCATGAGAGCAACTAGCCCATTATCATTCGCACGAGTGAAAATGATAATGTCATTCGCGTAAGCAAGGTGGGAAATGGAAGGCCCACAGCCACGCGTGCTGTAGGTCATCCTCGGAAAATCGCGAATGAAGCCGTCAAGGCAGCGAGAGAGATAGTCAGCCACCAGAACAAAAAGGGAGGGGGATAAAGGGTCCCCTTGACGAAGGCCGCGGGTAGAGGGGAAGAAGGTCGTAGGGCTACCATTAATCAAAACGGAGAATGTGCAGTGTTCCACACACGCCTCCACAAAGCTAATCCAACGGATGGGGAATCCCATCCGAGCCAGTACCTCTCTGAGAAACGACCACTCGACCCTATCATATGCTTTGGCCATGTCTAGCTTCAGCACGAGGTTCGAGGTTCGTGTTCGATTCGCATGAGAGATGTCATGTATCATCTCCTGAGCCAGTAGGATATTATCACTAATGACTCGATCTTTGATGAATCCACTCTGATTCGGAGAGACAAGGTGGGGGAGGAGGGGAGCTAGACGACTGTTGAGGATTCTAGAAATAATCTTGTTAGTCACGTTGCATAAGCTGATAGGTCTATAGTCAGACCAAGTGCTAGGTCCCGATCTCTTCGGGATCAAAATGATGGAGGTTGCCGTGAAGGACTCTAGCATCTGGTGGCCAGAGAAAAAATCCCTCTCAACTTCCTCTACGTCAGCACCCACAATCTCCCAGCAAGACTGGAAGAAGAGGGACGAAAAACCATCCGGTCCAGAGACGCTGTTGGGATCAATCCCAAACACAGCCTCCCTGACTTCCTCCTTACTCGGGAGGTCATAGAGGTCAACAAGGTCGACCGATTGCGGGATGGTCGGAAAGAGGGCCGGGTCGGGGTGCGTAAGCAAATCCCGCTCAGAGGAAAAGAGAGAGAGGAAGTAATGTTGGGTTCTGTTAGGAACGTCAAACAACATGCACAGTATTGAACTTTATCGAAATAAACCCCAATGCAGCGGAATCTATAGTTAGGGCATGGACGTTTACCTTTTAAAATTTTGCCGACTC